CAAATACTACACTAGTCCACTTTCTTTTTTCCATTACTGAAATTCTTGTATCAAGCTCAACGAGTATCGTTGTTTGAAATCGGCAGCTGCCTGGCAGTGTTCCTTTAACTCAATAAAATATWAATRAACYAATTCCTTACCCAATCAATACGAAATTGCGAAGTTGTTTATCGTATTGCCACTTAGATATTTTTAGGGTGTAAATATCTGCAAATAATTAGTAGTCAATATTGTCCATGGTTAACGACAATGATARCAAATTTAAAAAGTGTAGGTCTTACTAGAACAGTAGTGCACTTTTCATCGCTTGAAGCACTTAAAACTCTTTACGCTTTATTCATTCACACACTAAATTTACCATTTTAGAAACATATTTTAATATATAAACACACACGGCAAGGTGGTGGTATACAGTGATCCAAATAAACAAACATCTAATGTGATAGCAAGAAAATGAAAAGAAAAAAAATCTCGAGCAGAGAGCATTTGTGACTTTGAGCTCAAACATCTGCCACCACACAAAAAATAGATCCTACCAGTAAGGATATCTTAAACAGCCTTACCACTATCATTTCTCGATACGATATACCAATACCAATTATCATTAGCACAACTCACACGATCTCAAACTCTTTTCACACTAATTTTAAAACCTGAAAGATTTTTTTTCATGAGACTTCAATTGATATTGCGCTAAAATCTTGTTCCAAGTTGTTTTAATTAGTTTCGCGATTTCATTGAATAAATTATTCTGTCCAAATACAGGACGTATATTCCTTGAAGAAGATGACGGCTTACTGCCTAATAATAACAAATAAATAATATAAAAATGTTACGTTAGTTCCTTGGTTTTGACATTTTGTTCTCAAAGTTTTTTATCCCTGCTTTTTCATGGTCGTTAATTATTTTTTATTTCCCCAATAAGGCCCTGGCTAAACAAGGAAACATGTTTACCGCGCGCATGTTTCTTCGATGTTTCCCAGTTTAGCCACATGCGAAACATTGTTGCGAGCAACAAATTTTGCTTCCAAGAAGCAAAAAATGTTTTTGCTGTGCAGCAGAAACATTTCATATTTTCAAGACGCATGGAAACATTGTTTCCCGATGTTTCCTGACAGTTTTGCCACCTTAGGAAACATTTAGGGAAACATGTTTCTGGAAACATGTTCCTGGAAACATGTTTCCTACTTAGTCGCGAGAGTCACTTTAACTTCCCGATTGAAAATCGCGAAAATTACATGTAATAAGGGTAGCTAAACCAGAAGTATTAGTACTTAGTTTAAAGAATTTATCGAGAAAAAGACAGGTTTGGTTAAAGTCGAGATCCAGGGGAAAGTGAGACTGGTAAGAATGATTCAAATTAGCATAAACTGTAACTCATGAATAAAGAACTGGAGCTAGGGAAATAAAACGCAGCTGCATCTTAACAAATACTCAAAAGGAGCRCTGCTRGCCTCCTTCGCAGCCGTTCTTAGGGTCGTCACGCAACGTTTCCYTCCCCACAAACGTTGCGTGACGACSCTAAGAACGGCTGCGAAGGAGRCTAGCAGCGCTGCTGGCATAATGGGAAAAACATTTTTTGGAATTGGAGTGCCCTTCAAGAATGCAAAAAAAGACAAGTAGTAAGCCTTTAAAGCAACATGAATTAAACTTCAAACTTGCARAGACATCTATAAGCAAAGAGGATGTTTAAAGACCTCTATATTATTTCTCATGTCGACGAATTCAATCTTCCCGCGTTCAACTATCAGATGCTGCCCGCGATTGWTTGGTCAGCAGTTGCATAATTCCCAGCTGTTGATGTCGAGTACGGTGAAAGAATTAATTATTCTGCAAGTCAAGGGTACCTCTTGTGTAATTTAAAATTTTATAGGCTAATCTTACCTTGGTTATTGTTGTTTTATTACCAGTCTGATGTTGCTCTGCTTGCCTTGGTTCAGTCATCGACTTGACCGTGGAACAGATACTCACCCTACCCCTGAGGATATTCGGATGGGTTATTGGCAGCTCGGACGAATAAACATGGCGGCGGCTCTACTTGAAAACATTAACAGAATTTAAAAAAAAAATTTTACTTGATGATTTCAAGGTTTCACTGGCTACAATATAACACCCTACGAGCAGAGGTTTTTTCTGTCTACCAAGAAAAATCTTGAGGACGTTTCCTATTCCGATCCATACTCAGAAACGTATACACATTAATTATCGTATATATTTTTGGAAATTCTGGGGAGCAACGTTTTTTAAAAACTGAATAAAAATTTAAAATAAAAAACAAATAAAAAAAAAAAAAAGGAAAATTATGTCCTCTTCTGCGCAATCGTTAAACAAAGAAATAATAACCAAGGGAATGACACGTGGATTGTGTAAATATTACGCACAAAATGAAGAGTGAAGAGGAGCTATTTGAAATAAGAAGTAAATATAGGGAAAGTGTGGATAGAGCAGCTCCCCTACGTGTACTTTCAAGAGTAAGAACTTGGTCGAGTTCGCATTGCATTATGGGACTGTTTTATCCAAGATGGCGTCTATTTCGTCCCCAAAATGCACTGCATGTCGACTCGACCCAGTTTTAAAAATATTGATTTATAAGCAATGTTTATTTTTTCCTAGTCACTCACCATATCTAATTAAGAGAAGCCAATGCCATCCTTAGTACAGCAGTGCTCAGTCTTGCTGTCATATCATTAACGCACGCTTTTTATGCGTTATAATACAAAGTCAGTGTAATGTCGCCAGGCACAGCGAAAACACGAAAACGATTTTGACCAATCATTTTATATTTGAATTTCGGATAGTGCAAGAGCTGCGATCTAATAAATTTTACASAGATAATCAAACTTTCGATTGATTGAAATCATATCTCATCGATGCATTGGTTATTGAGTTGATTGAAAGTTAATCATCTGCTAGCCTGCGTCACATTCGGAATTTTCTTCGGATGTGACGCAGGCTAATTAGCTGCTCGTGTCAGGAAAGGTAGCTTGGATAAACGATATTTTATTGATTACCTATAGTTTATATGTTGTATTTACAATCATTTAAAGCTGATTTACCCATCCACTAGCTTGTAGAACGAGAATCACAACACAGCCCTGCATACATTTACCACTAGCCTCCGACGCAGACGTTCTAAGGGTCTGTCACGCGACGCTGTCACGCGACGTTACGTGACAGGCCCTAAGAACCCAAGGAGGCTCTTACCACTCGATCACTTAGATTTACAGAGTGTCATTAGAAAAACCATTTTAAAATTTGAATATGTTAACTCAATTCTAAGTCTACAATTGAATTTATTTATGTTCAATTGATTTATATCAAGCGGTTATTATAATAAAACGCATTGTGGTGGGGAAGATCGAAAGGAACCCGGGATCGAAATACTGAGATCTGGGAATCAGTAAATCCGCTTCACTCTTGGTGACGTGTCGAGTTCTTGTTTCAGGGCCGCAAGGAATTCTGTAGTAGAAGCCGTTCCACCTACATCAGCTGTAAGCTGAGGAGAGAAAATGACTGATAAATCAAAATGTATAGATATATGAAGAAATACTGTTGTAAAATACACCTAATCCACTGTTTTCCCATTTGAGACCATGTGTCATTCCCCAGAGTATCATTTCTTTGTTTAATGGTTGCGCATGAGAAGACACGTGACTATGGATACAACTCAAACAAAGAAGACAAAGAATATTATTCTCAAGGGAATGACACATGGTCTCAAATGGGCAATAAGAGTGAAAATGGGCAAAACATTACGCCCAAAAGGATTTGGTCCATTCGGCATCTTTTTCCCTTCACAACTTCAACAATACAAACGCTTTGAAACTTGGCGGATCTTCACTGGATACAAGAATATTCAAAGTAATTTCATACGAAATGTAGGCAAACCTCGTAGAACAGAGAATTTGAAACTTGGGGTATTAAACCGAAACTCTGACCACCAAACCTTAACCTGATCAACTAATTGGAAGATTCTCGAGAGACAAGTTAAKAGCTTACTATTCTTTTGTTTACGACGTCCAAGATGGCTTTGTTTATGAGATCGGCGTATGCWGTAAACCTGAAACACAAACATGTACCTAATATAGCATATTCAATGAATGTAGGTATAAMKATAAYAGACCCATTYACCTTGGGTGTAACGTTTTCCCATTTCAGACCACGTGTCWTTCCATAGAGTATCATTTCTTTGARSAAGACACATGAATGTGAATAGACTTCAAACAAAGGATCTTATTCCTAAAGGAATGACAAGTGGTCTGAAATGTGAAAATCAATAGAACCTATTTAGCTTGGGCATAATGTATATTCACCATCATTGACATTGTCATCATYATCAACGTCATYATCATCACACCMATCATCTTCACCACCATCATYATCACACCCATTATTATCATCATCAAAGTCAACATCAATGACCATTATCACCATCATTATCATCAACATGGCCATCATGATGCATAGTCTAATTACTTACTCAAGGTRTTGCAACATCAAGGTGCTTGCAAACAACATACTGATAGGGTTAGAGATACCTTTTCCCTTGATATCTAGACCAGTGTGTCTGGACCCCTAGACAATACACATAAACAGAAGATTAGCTAGACTGTTAACAGTCTCTTTTTCCCAGCCTAACTCAGTCGATTTGTGTTTTTCACTAACTTGGTCACGCTGGGAGTGTCAGCACGTGGGGAAAGGAAAAGTAGGGATGGGTTAAAAGTGTTCAAGGGGATGACCTTATGGTCRCAAGGGTTCAAAAGTGTGACTTATTGGTCACCAATGCCACTAAAWCTGCTGTAATGCAGTGTGAAGGGAAGGACTGAAGGTACATCATGGGAAAAAACACTGTGCATTACAAAAGATTACTTTAAAGTCAAATAAAATACAGACATATATACATACAGTCAGACAGACAGATAGAAGGACAGACAGACACACACACAGGCAGACAGACAGACAGACACACGCAGACACAAAGACAGATACACAGACAGACAGACAGATAGGCAGACAGACAGACAGACACAGACACAAAGACAGATACACAGACAGACAGACACACACACACACACAGGCAGACAGACAGAGACAGATGGACGGACAGACAGACAGACACACACACACAGACACAAAGACAGATACACAGACAGACAGACACACACACACAGGCAGACAGTCAGAGACAGATGGACGGACAGACGGACAGAGAGATGGACAGAAAGACAGAGAGATTGATGGAAAGAGGGATAGTCATACAGTAGGRCAGACAAAAGCAACTTACTGATTCAAATACAGCATAATCAGGACCATAGTTTTCTCCCGGCACTACTCCTGGTCCACCAACCAGCGAAGCTCCAATATTACTGACAATATTACCATAGAGGTTTGGCAAGAGCATTACATCAAATTGGTTTGGATTGCTTACCAGCTGTTAGAAGAATTATCAAAAAAAAATATTTGAGATACAAGTTGGGAAATAACCTCAAGTAAAATCAAGCAATAAATTGATATCAGATTGTTTATGTTGAATCAAAAATGTATATTATATAAATATAATAGGAAATATACTGTACTACTTTTTAATTTACTTCAGTTAATACATTTTGCAGTTACATGTATATAGACACTCACTTGCATACAGCAGTTGTCAATAATCATACTATCGTACTCAATATTTGGGTGTTTCTTGGCCTCCTCRTTGCAACAGTGAAGAAACAATCCATCACCCATTTTCCTACCAAATTGTTYGTGGAACAATATTAGCTTAGAATACCCTGGGTACCAGAGGCCATAGTGGGGGTGGGGGGGAGCTTAGACAAACCACTCTCACAAAGTTAACAAACTGGGATGTAGAGGCAAGGGGTTCTCCCTATTATATTTCTTGCCAATAAATTAAGGAGGGGGTTTGTTGTTATTTTAGCCAAGGGGGAAATGGCCCCTCCTACTGTATGTCGTTGGGAAGGTCCCTCCCGTCTCTTGTCAAGGGCTAAAGAGGGAGGATCCCACATGTCTGATTAAGGAATTAAGGGCCCAATCATTTCCTTGGCAAGGGAAAGGGTACAATTTGTATAATACACAAGGACATTTCTTTTCATTTTCTTACTTACATTATGTTTGCCTTATGAACTGCAGTGATTTTCTTGCGGCCGTGTTTCTTGGCAAATTCAAAGGCATACTCGGCAATCTGAACACACTTTTCTTCTGTAGTTATTTTAAAGTTCTCAACCACACCTGGAATATTCTTTTTTTAAATAAAAATAGCTTTCAGCTTAAGGTATACAATGTAAGGAGGGGATTTTGACCACCATACGTTACCTCAAATTGTGCACTGACTTTACAATATTTTTGCCATAAAAGTATACATTTTCTGAAAGCTAAATAAATGCAGTTTTTACATATTTATTTAGAATTATCTGTTTTGCAAAATAAAAAATGTTATTGGGTTTGAAGTGAAAATTTGCAGCACTTCATTTGACAGGTTTCCACAGAATCAGAATTTCCACTATGTCAATCTTATATACATTAGGAATACTCTGTAGATAATAAACTTCTAAAGGTGTCTYAGATTTTTTGATATCATATCTAAATTGAGTGCAATCACACGTAAAATCTGGAAGTTTGAGTTTTCGGTAGTTGTGATTGTAAGATAAACAATATCTTTTGAATGAAAAAATTATTTTTTTTAAACTGAGAGAGTGTTTTTAGATTTGTAGTGTAGACTTATTATTATCCAAAGATTCAGTTCGATTTGATGYAATCCGAATGAGCTAGATTGTTTTAAAGAAGCTATTTTTGTCACTCAAAAAGTTCAGAGAAACCCAACTTTTTTTGTGTTCCAAATAAAAACAGACAATTGCTAAATAGATTTTYGAAAACTATGTTTATTCACCTTTCAGAAAATGTAACTGAATCCCCTCCTGATACTTTAAAAYAATTTTGTTGCTTACAGTAGTTGCATTATGAGCAAGACAGTGTGGTGCAGAGTACATGTACATGTAGTCCATTCCAGGTGCTGAGTATCAAACTGATTGATTGACCCAGCAAACACCCATCAGTGTACAGTCATGTATATTACAAAGTTCATATCCTAAGAACTGATTCTGAGCTGTCAATTAGCTTTTGTTGTTCAAATCAATTGATCAACCACGGTCAATCAAACAATAGATCAACATGACTGACAGCAGTCAACCATGATTGGAAACTAAGGTTGTGGATGATTGACAACAACRATTGACGACAATAATCAACCATGGTTGGTCAATCTTTCAACAATCAGTTTCGGTAGAATGGCCTCAGTAGTGGATCCAGGAATTTTTTTACGTGGGCTGCACCATCCAGGATTTTTGTCTTAGGAGGTGTTGCATCCTTATGGACAAGATGTCTGCAAGYGCAAGCACCAATAATGCAGTAGATCATCTAGATCTCATCTCTCTCCTAGATCCACCCCTTGACCTACACTGTACTCTGTCAATAAGCACACAATACAAACCTGATGTTCAAGTTGGCTGTACTCTCCTTCAGTATTTTGTCTGATAATCACTAGATCTATATCAGTGTGTCTAAAATATGATATAAAAAGAAGTAGCATTTACAGTATAAACAGTACTTACTTATAATCTAGGTAATAGTAAAGGATTATGATATCCTACCAATATAAAAAAACTACACAATTTGCTAGGGTAACTAGATTTGCACAGAGTAATTTTCATCTAGACCCCTTCTAGATTGAATTATAATTTAGAAGTTGATTTTTGCAGGTGGAAAACCAGAGAAAAACCCTTGAAGCGCAGGAGAGAACCAACAAACAACTCTACTCACATACAAAGAGCATAAGAATCRAACCCGGTCGCATTGGTGAGAGGGGAGTACTCTCACTGCCCATGCTTCATATGGCTTCCCATGGCTAACTATACAGTACATGTAACCATCCCACCAAAAAGCTACCAACAACCTACTAACAGCCTACAAAGAACCTACTGATGCCTTACTAACAATGATTTAGGGGTCACATTMTTTACTTTATTTCCCTGATCATACTGATAGTTAACRATTATTCGCCGAAGGCGAAGTGATTATCGGGGAATATTTACAGAGACATGAGTCTTCGAGCGGCCAGAAAGATTTTCTATAATCACCTGCATATTTTTACTAATKAACATTACAACCTCCAAATACATGTAGTTGGTTGGCCAATTAAAGCACACTGATTTTCTACCACTAGTTTTAAAGCTCTAAAATGCAACTAAACTGGGATATTTGAATTGATTATTYAGTCATGAATAGCTTTACCTGGTTTTTATAGTAGGGATTGATTTGCATCTCACAACATTAGCAAACAGATCTAAACGCAGTCTGTGAAAAATTATATCAAACATTTTAATATATTTTATTGCAAAATGATTTTATYACACAACAAAATGACTTTTGTGCTGATCTATAACTTAATTCAGGGCAGGGCTAACTCACACATTGAATTACTTAGAATAATATAGTGTGTTGGGGTTTTTGTAAAGGAAAGAAAACTGCAGAACCTGTAAAAAAATTTGACCCAACAAAATCTATTCACATGTGATGTGCATACAAGTATAGCTGTAGAGAAAAAAATGAGATACATGTGATAAAACAAAAAACTGTACATGTGAGTAGACACAAAAAGGAATTATAACAAGGAAAAGGGGTACATACAGTAGACACTTCACGCATGTATACATACAAACATTTACAGTACCTCAGTTCCAAATTAAGAGATCGAAAATCTGGATGTGTGTCGAGTGGTGTGAAAATGTTTCCTGCAAATACAAAACAAAAATAAATCTGGCTGTACTGTAATTTTATTTAGCTGTTCATTCATGTCATGTGTAAAAAAAAAACACTCAAGAAAGAATTCAAAATAGACATYATTAGCTCCAAGGAAGACAGATATCTATATGTAATACTGTACCTTTGATTGCAACACCATTACGTCGTATTGATGTCACTGCATGATCCATGGCATCTTCRTGAGATTCCATATCCACAATATCTAAACCACTAGAGTCAAAACCAAGACATCTTTTATTAATATAGATTTATACTGGATGACTTCTAAATGATGTAAACATCTCTTATTGGGAAGCACAGGTAGTGTAGCGGTGACAGCGCTGACCTCTCACCAACGCAACCCTCCGAGTCCCACCTGCYTTAGTGTTGTGTGTTAGTAGAGTTTCTACTGTAGTTGCTTCTCTCCTGTGTTTCAAGGGTTTTTCTTCGGATTCTCCCCTCCACMAAAATCAACTCCTAAATTCCAATTTKATCACAGAACAAGGGTGATAGGTTGGTGCTACCCTCCTAAAGTCCCTGCMCCCCACTACCACCACCATGAATCATAAATATAAATTCTGAGAAACAATTAATGTTTTCCTCAACCACACATTACATGTATATGAGGTGGAATAAATGCACAATTTAACCATTTTTGCTGACATTTCCTATATTGCTTATATGTACATATTTAAAATGGGGATATTGTTCATTGCTCTGTATATACCTAACATTAAGCTCTTCAAAATCCACTGGCACACCCACATGTCTGAAAAAAAATTAATATCAAAAAATATWATTTTATCTGTAATTAGTCTTAAACAACTTTATCTAAGACTGCTCTACAGTACTTCAAACTTGTAAACCCTTGATAAATATTTTAAAGCACTGTAATTATAATTATAAATCATTATTATATAATTATAATCATTGCACCTTGTTGCTAGGGAGAACTCAGAGAACTCCAGAGATGGATCCCCCCTCCCCCCCCCCCTCCCCAAATACAAAACCTAGATGGGGTGGGGGAACTGGAATTAGGGATAAATCTAAAAGCTTTAGAATCCTGTCAAACCCAAACTTAAAAGAAAAACACTTTAAAAATAAATAATAATAATCCATCATCTTCGAGATACTGGTGAAATGGGAATGAAAACTTTGTCAAGATTAAAATTTAAGAACTGTAACTACAATTTCCAAAATCCTCCCTTGTAAGTACACTGTACAACTTTACCACTGACCTGAAAATATCTTTGACAGCAATAACCATCTCCGGCCCAATGCCATCACCAGGTATAAGGGTCACTGTGTTGCGACCACCATATTTGGCAAGTGGTGGAATATGTTGTCTTGGGTGATGGTCATGTGGATGATAGGCTGCACTCTGGGACTTGGGTAGAAATCAAAACATAGATATAAGTACCAGGGGTTTTACTCGTCTAACGGTCAGGGATTGGAGAATGCTCTTGTGTATWAGCAAAATTTTCTGGCTTAAACTACCATTCATAGCTTAGTAATTCATAGAATGTTTACTAAGACTAGCCTCCAGCTAGTTTATGACTTTCTCCTATCACTTCAATAAAATAAAATAAAATAAACCCCTGAGTTCAAGTAGTAAAATATAGCTATACATGTAATATAGTCCTATAGCCCTTCAATGCAATATATAGTCTGCATATATCRAATTTATAAAGTAACTAGAGGTTGCTTTGACACTTCAAGCTATTGTACATGATGAATTGCACTAGCTGGGCAATGCCCTGTGAAACTCTTATATTTATTTCATTCCTAGCATTTTCTCATTCATACCTCCTGTGTATTGAATGTATCCATATCCTTTGCTAAGCACTGAGAATTTTTCTTTCATTCATTCATTCTCTCTTTATTTCATTTTTGTTTTCCTGCCTTATTCCTTTGTTTCTATTAATAAATAACTTACGGTAAAAGAATTAAACTCCATTTCCAGTCGCAAAGAGTACTTAAATAAYATAAATCGCAGAAAAGCTACTGTATAAACAGAAACATATGAAATACACTGTATTACTAAAGAACACCTAAACGCCAGCACACTGTGCCCTGTTATTTCTTTAAATTTCATAGCTACATAAACCATAAAAAATAAACAAATAAAAAAGAGATTTATCTACCTTCCTAAGTGCACAGGACGAGGACCTGAGTCCTGCTTTTAGGAGTATTTTAGACGATCCTRTCTGAAGTAGTCTTGACCTGAACAGAACAGCCGCCATGTTGTTGATTGCTGGCTCCTAATCCAGTCAGCGGTTACAATATAATGATGTTACGTATCACAAACATTCCCCGCAAGGACTACCTGGGAAGGGACAAAATCAAGATGGCGGACGAAGTGTGTGGTTTCGATAAAGAGTATTTGGAGAGTCTTTCTAAAGACRAATTAGTGTTGAAAGTTATGCAAATACAAAAAGAGAAAGAAGAGGCAGTATTGAAGTTGTCTGAGAAGGAAATTACCGAAGAAAAGAAGGATTTTTCGGCGTCTCCATCTTCGGCAGGACAACTTGGAGAAGCCAACAAAAAGTCAAAACAGAAAAAATCTCAGAACAAACCGTTTGATTTTACACGCTACAACAAAAGACACGTAGCTCTTATGGTTGCGTATCTTGGGTGGGATATGCATGGATTTGCTGCCCAAGAAAACATCGATAGTACGGTTGAAGCTTATCTCTTTGATGCCTTGATGAAGGGAAGACTCGTTCAGACAAGGGAAGGCGCAAACTATTCACGCTGTGGGCGAACAGATAAAGGCGTGAGTGCATTCAGGCAGGTTGTATCATTGGATGTCAGATCGAACCTATCGGAGGGAATTGGTGTCATACAAACAAAAGACTGTGCTGATAAACAAGGTACAGTGTGTACATTTGTGTGATTTGGTATCCCTGTGGTGAGGTACAGTACTGTACTTCAGTACACCCAAATCYGAGGGGGGAGGTGCTGGATAATTGAAATGACTGACACATTAGTATCCATAGGGCTGCTTTACATGTAATTGTATACAAAGTTATAACATAGACTGTGAAGCACCCTAARAAATGGGGACATGAAACTAGTGCAGGAGCTATAGCTAGTCAGTCTCTTCCTCTCTGCTGTATATCGGGGTTTCCTGTTCTGAATGGGGAGAGAGACTGTTTTAAAAACATCAATTAAGGCTGTAACTGAATGCATAAATTAAAATATTGACTTTTAGAAGTTCATGACGGAGCTACATAATTTATTGTCAATCTTTTTCTTCCCAATCTTCAACAGTAGAAAACTCAAAGGACACCAAAGAGCTCCCTTATATTCAAATCCTCAATAACCTTCTGCCAAATGAGATCAGGGTTCTGTCTTGGGCACCAGTCCGCTGTGATTTTGATGCAAGGTTCAGTTGCACATACAGGAAGTATAAATACTATTTTCCAGCAGCAAATTTGAATCTAACGAGGATGAATGAAGCAGCTAAAAAACTGRAAGGAGAACATGACTTCAGGAATTTTTGTAAAATGGATATAGCTAATGGGGTCATGAGTTTCAAGCGAGCGATAATATCATTTACTGTTAATAAAATCACTGCTGGCAATGAAGATACTGATAGTGAGATATGGGAAGAGAAAGAAGGGGYAGAGCCCCCACATGATGGATATGAAATGTGCGAGGCTGTTATACTAGGGTCAGCATTTCTCTGGCATCAAGTTCGTTGTATGGTATCTGTGCTCCTAATGATTGGTCAGAAGCTTGAAGAACCTGAAGTCATCGATTGGCTTCTTGATACAGATCTCTGCCCTCAACGTCCACAGTACAATATGGCATTAGAGTTTCCATTGGTCCTGTATGATTGTGTCTATGAGGATCTGTCATGGGTCCATGAACCACATATCACTGAGTCTCTAACCAAGCATCTACAGCAGATATGGACTATTCATAGTGTTAGAACTACTATTACAAAGTCATTGATAAATCTCATTAATAATGATGTAATCTCACAGAGTGAGAGAACTGAGGTTGACTGTTCAGGCTCCGAACAGCAACAAACATTTAATCAAACCAATTTTTTGATTCCTGGTGAATCATTCAAGTCTCACAAGAAGCTCAAGAAGAGRGCATTGTGTGAAAGTTTTGAGCAAAAGCTGCAGAATATTAACTCTAAAAGGAAGAGAAAGGGAAAAGAAGTTCTGGACCCAGATAAAATAACAGAAAAGAAGAGATAATCTACGAATGGAAAACAGAATTGGTATTTCCCTTCACTGAGCTATGGTAAACATGGTAAAGATACTGTAATTGTTAGAATACTGTAAGTTGTTACTACAATATTGTAACAGGGAGAAAAAGTATTTTTTCAAAGAAATTTTAGGGTAAAAATTAATAAAGATTTTATCTAACCTTATGCATGGAATTTCTTCTCAAAAATGCTCTTTTTCCTTTTATAGTACACCATCTATCTCCTTCCCCATCTCTTCTCCCTAGTTCATATCTATTGTTTTTCCTCCCCCTCCACTCCCCTTACCTCCCCCTCCACTCCCCTTACCTCCCCCTCCACTCCCCTTACCTCCCCCTCCACTCCCCTTACCTCCCCCTTCACTCCCCTTCCCTCCCTCAAAACAAAAACCATTAACATACTTTTCTGTTCCAGTGCCCAGGGGAATGAATAAGTCTGGTGTTGATGGTTTTCACAGCCGCCATCTTGAATGAATTTAACAAAATATTCGTCATTAGTCTCTTTTGTCATATCATCCAACATGGCTGCCATGTCTTGTTATTTCATTCTCATGGGAATGATTGAAAACCAGCAATACACTAGATTTACTGCAAAATATGTTAAAACTCAGCCGAAGAAAGAGGAGTCTCTTTTTAAATTCCTAGTATTTCCATGAAACCTATTTGGGATTTACAATCACATAAATTTGGTATCCCAATTAAGTGAATTTGTGAACCAGAAATACCCAGGAATCATTTTTGAATGAAGGGTCCATATTATATCAAGTATATGGTTATAGGGATAATGTCTCCAAACATACTTAGCCTGCGTAGCTCGGCCCTAGGGGAGGGGGGAGGGGGAGGCTAAACATGCTCAGAGGTGAAAGTTAAAATTTTTAGGGGCCCAGAAGGTGGAAGATTGAGAATTCAAGTTGGAAAATTGAAATGCTAGATATATTCACACACACACACACACACACAAAATCCAGGATCAAATTTTCCTAAAATGTTTACAAAATTAAGTAATACGTAAAAACTAGTAAATCTTGATCTAGACGAACGGAACTTTTCTGTCATCGTTTCCGCCTTTATCATTATAAAAACCAATCAATCTTTCTTCGTTAGTTAGCATGTAATACCATAAAATTCAATTCTCTATGGTAACCAAATCTTCCAGCYCACAAGATTAACTGAAGTAATCTTAACGAGCTTTTGAGCGTCTATTAGTAAGTATAAAATGTAAAATATCAATGGCAAAGTGAATTACGATCGATTGCAAAGAATAATGCTTCGATCAAGGAAGCGAAATCTTAACAAAGCGGTCACGGAATGGATGTTACAGTAAAACTTCACTGGTTACATAGCTTGGCTGGTTAGTTCTTTACACCATAGTTTTTTAAATTGCAAATGTATTTCCAATGCTTAACCACACAGTTTGAACAGATTCTATGAGATTCGTTTCTGCGTGAAAATAAACTGCACTCCTTTTTTTTTTTTTTTTATCCTGCTTTTGTATGTTGTTTTATATATATATATACGTGTTGTTTTTGTCATTTGAAGAAGAATTCCCTTCAGACATACGTCAAGAGTTCATAATTGATTTCCTACTTCACTCAATACGGCTTTCCTTCCGGTGCATGTAACGTTTCGTGAAGAAAAAAAATACCCAATATTGACAAACAGGTGAAAATTCTCGAACGATATTTTCTTTCAAGGTAATACAATGACTTGCCTAAGACAATACATAATGGAAAATTCGCCGCAATCTGGCTGACTTACGGAAGCGGAGCATGTTTACAGCAGACAATGAAATTCAAGCTATAAAATACTCACTAATGACTAGCCCAAAACTTCATAAAGGTTATTTTATCCCATTATTAAATATTGAAATTTTCTCGGCGTCTTTGAGACCGTACGTCATTCACCGCTTGCAGACAGTGGTATAGGTGGTGATTTTTCATATGGCGACGTCTTGCGTAGACGAACGCACAGATAATTTCAAAGGGTTCATGTTTGATCGTTTTTTGATGTTGGTGCGTGTTGTTTGATAGATGTATTTCAAGATTTTTTTAAGTGTGAGTGTTTGAAAGTGGGCAATTAAGAGATACTTTAGTCACGTTATATCTTCGCCCTGTCGATTCCCATTATTTATGATTCTTTAAGACTAATGTGGCGCAAAAAAAAAAA